AGAGAGAGAGAGAGAGAGAGAGAGAGAGAGAGAGAGAGAGAGAGAGAGAGTAAGTGAAGTCAGGCTCAAGAGAATGCTATTGCTGGCAAACTGGCAAATAACCGCTTAGAAAGGTTGCAGGTAGAATTCAGCCTACTGTGTGTGAAAGAGAGGAAGAAATTTTTTGACACAGAAACAACACTTAACATGTGCTCGACTTTCAGGTGGAGGGCAAGACAGTGAAGGCCCAAATATGGGACACAGCCGGTCAAGAGCGCTACCGTGCCATCACCAGCGCATATTACCGAGGTGCCCTCGGTGCCCTCTTAGTGTATGACGTAACCAAACCCCAGACCTTTGAGAATGCATCACGTTGGCTCAAAGAACTTAGAGACCATGCAGATTCAAACATAGTAGTAATGTTAGTTGGTAACAAAACAGATCTACGCCATTTGAGAGGGGTGGCCACAGAAGATGCACAAGGCTTTGCGGAGAGAGAGGGACTCTCTTTCCTAGAAACCTCAGCCCTCGAATCAACTAATGTAGAGAGAGCATTTCAGTCCATTCTTGGGGAAATTTATAGGATTATTAGTAAGAAGTCGCCTCTGTCTTCATCGTCGGGGGCCAAGGACGAGAATGTTGGTGTGGAGATGAAAGAGGGGAAGACCATATTGGTTGGTGGGGCCGGACCAGAGGCAAACACGAAGAGAGCATGTTGTTCATCTTCCTAATCTCTTAAGTGTGTGTCAACTTTTTCCTTACTATTTTTCTGTTTTTTTTCTTTAAATGTTGTGGAGGTAGTAGGCTTCTGGTGTGGAAACTCTTTTTTCTTTTCTATACTGTTTCTTCTCTTGGGTTTAACTGTGTTTATCAGTATTATCCAGATCTTCACAAACAATTTTTTGCAGCTCCCATTTGCAGGAATTAGATATCTTCAAATGGGAGGAATTACCACTTGCACCCCATGGAACAATGTTTGTGGAATTGCCTTTGATGATAAAATGGTTGCTCTTACCTGTCTCGAGGCCTCCACACCCATATGGTCATGATTACCTATTGAGCTACCATCAAAATTAAGCTTTGAGCTTAGCATGTGATGGAGGAAGCCATTCACTGGGCTTTTCTTTTAGCAGGGGAGCGAGGTGGCATTCTTAGAGGCCACCATAAGTAGAGAATTCTTTTCTGGGTTTAGCCGACAGAATGACGGTAGACTTAAGCTTCGATGGAAAGAAAACCCTTGGATCAATAGATTAGAATCTTGTTCTTCATCGAGAGAGGAGATGAGGGCCAAATGGTTTGTGGTCGTCTTTTCTCAAGGGTCAAGAGTAGGCCAGGGCCCCTTTGGCGGGGTCCCGACCTAGGCCTAATAGGGGGCAGGGCTTCTTTGGCTATGTCAGGGCTAGGCCAGCCCAGCTCTGATAGGGCCAGGGCCTCTTTGGTGGGGTCCGGGCTAGGCTGAGCTTGTAGGGACTAGGGCCAAGGCATTCACAGCCTTAGTCAAGAGGTACAATGTCAAGGGTAAAATAGTCCAAGGGATGGAAACTCTTCATGTTTTCTACACGATGAAATTTTAGGCTCTGTTTTCCGTTCACACGCTCATGGGAAATTTTACTAGCTGGAATTCGCAAGAAATTAATAATACAAAGGGAAGAGATATTCAGATCAACCAATTATAGAAAGTAGATAAGGTTGGCACCTTAAATTGTGGAATTAAGTTGCAGCTCAAAACTTTATCAGAAAATGTAATTTTAATATTGGAAAACCATTTAATTGATCATCGACATCGAGATTTGAAGTCTAAAAATAACATATCTTGCAACATGTTATTTGGACAGTCCATTTTCAAGATTTTCATGCGTTTATATATTTGTTTGATTTGAACTATGATTGGAGGTTAAAATAGAATCATTCTAAAAATTTTCTACACCAAAATTGCATCCTATGACAAAAATTGCATCTTATGACAAAGATTGGAAATGCCCTTTACTATAATTATTTAATGTTGCACCCTTACACAAATCTCACCCTTAATAAAAAAAGTTAATTTCTATTTAACTATTTTATTAAAAATATTGAAAGGCCCTCCTCCGAGGTTTGGAATAACGACTAGACAAAGATGTCTCAGTAACGTTGTCTATGGGCAATTACCAAATGCTCCTCATTGTTTTGGATTTTAAATTAAGAAAGAAGTTATGGTGAAAGATCTGCATGTTTTAGGTTTGGAACCCGGAGCAAGGGACAAGGTTCATCATGTCGTTTAGACTAGGTAAGTCTAACACTGCCTACTACCACCTTCAAAAAAGCTAACTCCGTAATCTATATAAAAAAAAAAAGTAGGGGCTTGTCTTCCCCGTTGAATTACCCCCGGAAAAAAAAAAAAATTATTTACTCACTTATACCTGGTAAAAACCCCATCGTAGGAGTTCTTTTAGGATATCAAATTTTGGGAATTGGAAGTCTGGTTTCCTAACAACCTCAAAGAAATGAAGAAAATAAAAAAAAGGATATGTACTAGTGCTTGAAAAAAATATCCTCAGATGAAATAGAGAATTCAATTTTTGCATGGTCAAACTTGTGTTCAGAAAATCAGAGCTCTTTTCTTTTGGCTTTGAAAGTGGTCGCGCCAATTTTTGCATGGTCAAACTCATGTGTTCAGAAAATCAGAGCTCTTTTCTTTTGGCTTTGAAAGTGGTCGCGAAATTGATAAAATACTCCCAGGTATTTTAGTTGAGGGAGTAAAGTGTATAATGCGCACCCGCAGGTTCAACACACTCCTGGTGAAAAATTCCTTGCTGGGTTCTAAACTTGGAATGAGAGACTTTAAATGAACAAAACATGCTCCAAGTTTGGAGCCTATAATATTATTTATTTTATTTTTTGGCATCATCATTATTATCGTCAGAATGTTTTTTCAACTAATCAAAGTCGGTTATATGAATCATGGTCTATCATTCTGTTCTATTAAAAGTCACACCTTGAGTGAGGCCATAATTATACTTTCGTATCCATCTAACTTAAATCCAAGGTATTTACTTCTGTTTTTTTCTTTTTTCTTTTTTCTTTTTTTTTTTTTATTCTTCGAATTGCTAACGAAATTTAGTAAGTACACAGTGACACTTGGGGCAAGCCCCAAAAAAAATAAGAAAAGAAAAATTACAACACAATAGCTGCCTTTGCTAGAGCATCAACATCAAGGTTCCTCTGGCCATTAGCATATGAAAAGATAATCTCCCCTCCTCCCCCTACCCTCAAGTAAAACCGCTTCTCCTCCTTGATAGTGCTTAACATCCTCGGGATGCTTAGGGGATCTTTGTATCATTTAATAAGTAAAGTCGCCTTCTGATATTGTTCCTTCAGCTTTAAATTGCAATATTTAAGTGCCATAAACTCAGCTCATTCACATGGTCTCTAATAGCCTTGAATGGTCCAAACGGCCCAAAGGCCATTTTGCTTATTCATGACAAAATCGATGATGTGTTGAGTGAAACATTTATTTTAAAAGTACTTTGTTGATTTATCGAAAAATCGATTGATTTGGCTATTTCAAAGACTCATGAGTGGTTACAGATAAAAGAAAAACGAAAAAAAACAAAAGCATTTTGAAGGTTTGACATATAAATTATGATTAATTTGGCTATTATGAGATTGTTTATTTTTTAGTACAAAGTGGTCATAATTAATCTCCTTCACTAGATATGAAATTGGGTAGTTGCATTTGTTTCATTGAACAAATTCAAAGTTAAAAAAAAAAAAATTTCAAACTTTGCGACACACCCAAGCTATCAACTTTCACATCGGATAGTTATAAATAATTGTAACCTCTTTGCACTAAATGTAGGTTTCATTGTATAAAAAGAGACCTATAAAGGTTTGAAGTCCATGCTACCACATACCAATAGAAATTATAAAAACAACAAACAATTACTATTTCTTTTTTAGATGCAGAGTAACATTTTATGATCCACACGATCATGGAGAGAGAGACTATGGCCAATATTTCAATGGATGGAAAGAGGAGTGGACTTCTCCATCATCGTCCATTCATTTATTGGAAGGTGATGGCACTTAAGACCCCATCTAACAGTGGTCATACGGAACATGTTATACTTTTTGTATGAAATATTTATCCATTAAACACATGGACAAGGTTTTGGTGAGTTCGCCTGCTCGCCAAAACATGTGCGTCTCCTCATGCAGCAGGTACCTGTCTTATAGATGGACGTCAATGGTGCTTTCACTATACTTCAAAATGGATGGTGGAAAAATACATTAAAAAATATTTTTAATTAAAAATCGAAATTCATAATTATCTTCATGGTTGCCGTTTACAAATCCCAAAATTTGAGATGATTTTTGAAGGGAGACTGGACATCTACAGGTGAGTCGGCTGATCCACCAAACACTTCTCCTAAAAAGATTGAAGGGCCAGTACTACCACAATTCAATGGAGCATCCTGTGCAGCGGTCCAATGGCCATCAGTCATTATGCCTTGTAATGGATGCTTGGGATTAACAAAGAAAAATGCCCACATTTCAATAAATCTGATTTTGTCGAGGCCTTTTTTATTTTTTAAATTTATAGGTCATCCCCAAGTCAAGCCAATGCCATTCAATATTTTTTCTCTGCTAAAAAAGCCGTCGACAGTTAATTAAACGGCATTATTTGTCTTTTTTTTTTTTTTTTCTTTTCTTTCTTTTTGAGAAAGAGAATTCTAAATTACTTAGAGAGAGAGATCCAACATACCCAACTGCATAAGCAACGCCACATATCCACTGCAAAAGAAAAACTTACAGAGCTTCAACATACCCAATGAAGAACAAAGAAAGAGTATGGTACCAGTTGAAAGTAGAAATCACCCATAAAGACACACAATCCTACCAACGAAAAACAAAATAAAACAGACACAGAATTCCCGGATACACTGAACTAAACACACACACAGTTCACAGATATATTGAACTAAACCCACACATACTAGCGTGCTAACAGAATTTTCAGATTAAAAACACACAAAATTCCCATGAGCGCTGAACTAAACACACACATAGATACACTGGACGAACACCACATACACACAAAGACGCAGGCGTGCACAACAGAGAGAATTACCAGATACACTGAATTAAACAGGACACACAAAAAATCATACGTGGAATTCCCAGATATGCTGAACTAAAAACACGAGCGTATGCGCGTGCACAGACGAAAGAGGGAGTGGAAAGATACATTGCCCTTGTTTTTGTGTAATTTAGATGAAATTCAAGAGAATTTGGGACCAAAATTACTATTTGGTGTTGAATTCTACATATCAAGACTGTCACCAGGCAAAACAATCTCTTGAAATTAATGCTTATGATTCATTGTCAAAAAAAAAAAAAGAAAGGAAGAAGAGAAAGAAATAATTGAATATCAATCTCTTGAAAATAGTGCTTACTATTCGTTATCAAGAAAAAAAAATGGAAGAAGAAAAAGAAATAATTGAATATTTTCTATCGTTAAGAAAGGAAGAAATGTAAGTATGAAGAGGTAATTTATACAAAATACAAAGATGAATAAAAATTAAGGCAAGCCAATAATCAGAGAAATTTTTACAAGTAAAAAGAAACGTACCATGTGGGCGTTGAAAACAAGGGTTGACATGGGGTGTGGGGGATGATTCGCACGTGTGAAATTTGAGAGGGACGAAGCCTGGTCCGAAGCCACAGTCATCTCTCTCTACTGCGGCCTCGATCCAGACAACCCTTCCCCCCAAAACACTCACACGAGCACAAAACCAGACCATCTCTCTCTCTCTCTCTGTTGTATTTTTAAGGGATTGGGGTGAAGCAGACATTAAAGGCCACGACGATGGCCATTCCTAATTTACTCCAAAAATAAACGACTGTGTCTATAAATAACAAAAATGGAATTTCTATTTATTAGCCATTTGGAATGCATAGGGTGGAAGACTTTAATGGCTTTCTCACCTACTCTGCCATGAAGGCCATGCATAATTAATTTTCAAGGAAAAAGATGGATTCTTTCCTTATAGGTCATATTCACTACACAACAAATGGAGCCCCCCTCTCGCTCTCTAACACGACCAGGGCATCATCTATCTCTCTCAAACACAGACCGTGGGGCATTATCTTTCTATCTCTCAAACACAACCACATGGCGGGGCATCGACCTGTCTCTCTTCATTCTCTCTCTGAAACACACTGCGTCATCGTCCTCTCTCTCTCTCTCTTTAAGACTCTTAAATTTTTCGAATGAGAACGAAAGCCGTCCATCGAGTCAATGTTTGACGCAACCCTTCAAGTGACGAGTGGGTCCCGTCCGTGCTAGGGAGCCTCGCGATTAGGTTGGAGGTGTCGACTTATTTTGGAATGAAAGTGTATTCTGTGTTCCCGCGGGAGCATACACTGTATTCACTTTTAGAGAAATTTTTTAGTATAAAATTCTGGAAATCACCTATGAATTACTGAATCATTATTTTCAAAATAAATAAATTTGAATTTTTAGTTTTAAATTTGAATTTTTACTTTTTTTTACACTCAGATCTCGCCATTCAAAAATAGGAGAGGCCTGTTCAATCTTATGTCTTTTTTAGAGTATAGAGAGCTCATTTCGGATATTATTTTTTATGAAGTCAAGAAATTACGTCCCCAAAATTTAGGTCCTATTTTGATATTTATCTAAAGGAGTAAATAGACAGTATACTTCCAAAAGAGTATAAAATCAAATCTTTTGGCTTTGGGCATTCCGTTCGATATGGAATTCTCTTTGGAGTTTCGTCTTGAAATTGAATTGAAACGATAGTGGATTCCAGTTCGTACTGTAACCCTTCACATATCCATCTTCTATTTATAATAGGGGGTTATGATTTGAATTTTGATTTTTGGGTAATGATTTCAATCATATTGTAAATGAACAGGTTTGATTTTTGGGTAATGATTTCAATCATATTGTAAGTGAACAGGAGATGGTCAAGTGATGCAATTCAGTAACTGCATTTGGTGCATAACTACTGGACCCAACTAAAATTAGATGGAGTCTTGGCAGGTGCATAACTACCGGACCCAATTAATAGATGGAGTCTTGGCAGTTCAGCTAGCACACCTATTCAAATGTTTTTTTTCAAACTTTCACCTCAAAGATGCATTTTGGACTAAAAAATATTAAAGGTAGGCAAACTCGAACCCGATGATAATGACGACTTCGAAAAAACAAAGTCTTCTTGAACATTAGAAATAACTTCTTTTTAAGTATATGGACCACTCACTTAAATTCTTCACAAATTATCGCATATTCACTTTTTTGGAGTCGACAATATTAGGGGTCCAAAGCGATAATGCACCTAAAGTCATTTATGTTTTACATCCTAATGGTATGTTTAACAACTACCTATTACCCTAATATTTCAAAATAATATAAGATTTATGATAATCATGATCCTTTTAGCGCCTAAGTCAAGTTTGATTGACCAAAATCTTCTCCTCGAAAACTAGTATAAATTCCTACTGTCTCACATAATTCTCGACCTGGACTTGCAATTTTTGAATAGTAGTGAAAATCGATGACCGTCACTCAAAAATCTTTTGCACTTAATATATGCCTAATCAAACTCCCTAATCTATTTGAAAAAAATGAGCAGGAGCTGTCTTCCCCACTGAATTACCCAAAAAAAAAAAATTTATATATATCTATCACCTCAAATATTTCACTAGAAGAGACTGTTTTGATGCCCAAATATATTCAAATTGATCATCTTGACATCAAGATGTATAGACATGAAAAAAAAAAATAGATTTCAAATTTTGAAAATAGTACATCTTGTAATGCATTTTTAAACCATCAATTTTCAAGATTTTCATTGATCTGCTTGATTTACACTATTTTTAAGCTTTAAATTTTATAATTAAAGATAAAAATACATTTTAAAGCTATCACAAAGAGTTTCAATAGTGAAACGTCATTTCTTGACACTACTCGAAGGAGTTACTTCTCGATTGTTTAGAGCCTCGGCTCTATACAAACTGCATCCAATTTTTATTTATTTTTTTATTTTATTTTTTTATTTTTTTCTAAACACTACCAACACTAAAAGAAGAAGAAGAAAAAAAAAAAAAGCCTCCAAGAAGGAACATCAACAGCCCAAATTGTGGAGAAGTGCATTATGTTAGACGACTACATCAAATATATGGCCTTGTGTGTCATCACCGTCCAATCAAATTGGTTGGATTGTGATGAAGAAATAGTACTTACTAACCAAACTCTAATAATCACCATTCAAACAATCAAATCGAACGCTAACAATGACCTTGTCCCATGTCCTCATGTGGAGTATAATAGGCTTCGATGGGGTGTTCGTTTTGATGGAACGTTTGGGTATCGTATCGGGAGACCCAAGTTCCACCAGACAGATGCCCAAGTTTGTTGTTGTATGCTTGTGGAGGACGCGTGAAGGAAAGCACGGCTTTCATGAGAGTACGAAAACAACATCTTTTGTCGTTGTTTTATAGAAGCCGCCCCTTCCATGCTTACTTTGTGGCAGCCCCCTCCACAAACAAACACGCCCTGGTGTTCTAAATTTAACCCCTGTCCCAACACTGTTCAAATTAATTATTAAACTGGATTAAGGATTATAAAAACCATACATAACATGATTACCAATGTTAAATAAACCACAAAACTTGCAGGCACTTTTTACACACGTACACGCAGAGAGAGAGATTCTCAGGTACCAAACTTATTTACAGTCACCTGTTTTTTGCAATTCAAAATGCCAACCCACTAGATATCCTTTACAGAGTACAGCATTATCTACGCAGAAATCACAACGTTCATGGAACAAAATACACAGCAAAGATGAGAACGACAGAAATTTAAATCAAGGAATTTACAGAAATATCATGGAAAAACAAATCCTTTGTACTTGCATTACCAGTTAGTTAGTTTTTCTGCAGTCCATGGGAAGAAATTGATAAGAAAATCAGGCCCAAACCCACATGAAATTTAGTTTCTTAGCCTTGAAACGTGCGGAGAAAAGAGGCTTACTGCTAACCACAGCAGTTGCTTTTCTGTTGAATAGGCTGCCCTTTCAATGGAACAGTCGTTGCCGCTTTCCTGTTTGAAGTGGGCTGGTTCCCCATTCTGCAAAACACAGACCCAGAAGTGACACTCAAAATTTCAAAAGTTTATATCAGTAAAAGTAAAAAGTTGAAATCAGTAAGGAGAGAACAGAGACGAGAAATTTAGTATTTTGATAGAATTATGATGGAAGATGGCCGAGGAAACATGATGAGACGGTTGTAACCATTTTCTCAGGTCGATGGCAACCCATTATCAGCTACAGCATGCAGCACTCATTGGAGAGAGAGGGAGAGACAGAGAGAGAGAGAGAGACAGAGAGAGGAAGAGAAATCAGAGAATATACCAAGAGAGAAAGTGAGGATCGGACAAAATACATATATGTTGTGTAACTGAAAAGTTTTGAATTTTTTTGAGAGAAAGAAAGTACAACTTTTGTGAACACATACCAAAACTAAAAAATAGACTTGGGTGAGTTAGTCATGTGCAACGGAGACCCAATACAACACCTGTTAGGGGGTACAAGTTCGTTTAACTGGAAGGCTCAAAAAAGGCAAAGTGTATGGTCAAAAGGACATGGTTGGAAGTAGTGAGAAAAGATATAAAGACTTATGGCATCACTGAAGGTATTCTCTTTGATAGAGTAGAATGGCGGATCAGAATTCGTATAGTTGACCCCAAATAGTTGGAAAAGGCTTTGATGATGATGATGACGACGACAACTATTTCAGGTCCCAATAACACATGTTACTCATGCTATCTATAAATGAGACATCAAAGACAACCCCTCTCTCTCTCTCTCTCTCTCTCTCTCTCTCTCTCTCTCTCTCTCTACTACTACTACTACTACTACGTACGTACTACGTACTACGTAACTACGTAACTAACGTAACGTAACTTAACTTAAC